TATCGATTATTTTGGTCAATTATTTAATTAAACTTAATGGCTATCCCAAATATTTCTTACCAATTATTTAATTTAATTGATTATCTAATAATAATCAAATTAATTTTCGATCTAAAACCAAAAGTTGGTTTGCTGAGGAGAGGAGGGATTCCATTGGTTAAATCTCCTCAAAAGTCAACCGTTGACTATATCTCTTCTCAAAAGTCAAGGTTGGATTGTTTTTTAATTTGTAGCATGAAAACTGTTCCCTTATTATTCTCATCCATCTTAAACTTGCATGAAGGAAAAAGAATAAAAATAAATAAAAAATATTCAAGGGTGTTTATGTAATTACATAGTTTCCCCGAGTCCATATTATTATTTGACGATTTTAGCGGCTAAAATTTGTTAGCAGAACAGCGTCGTTTTTGTGGTTCTTATCCTTGTTGGGTATATCGCAGAAACCCCCAAAATCATACTTCATTGTTTTCTTCAATCTCTTTCGATTAATCAATACGCAGTGTAGAAGAATCGGGGATAAAATTAGAATCAGTTTGATTTCGATTTTGTTTTTAATGTTCAATCGGAACTCGTTGGAGCTGTAAATCTTCTTTGATTGGAGGTGCCGATGTACAATTAATCAGGTATTCGTTTTATACTGTAATAATGTGCTCTTAGTTTTACCTTGGTTGGTTGATTGCGATTTTATTTCATTAAATAAAGTATTTTAGCTGCTCTTGTTTTCTATTGGATTCGTTGTAGCTTTACTGTTAATTTGAGAGCTTTAATTGTTCTTTGCGGCAGAGAAAAGTTTGTGTTCTGCCAATGGGGTTTTGTGAGGTTGTATCTATATTTTGTGATTGGGTGAAAGAATGGCTGCAAACTTTGTCTTGTATTGATTATGTTATATCATTATGACCTCTTTAAGTTGCAATATTAATTTGCTGCCGTAAGTTCGTGAGAATGTCGGAAAAACCTTGAGTTGTTGATGTATTTACATGATGGAAATTTTCGCGGTTCTCTACAAGATTGTATAAAACAAAATATGGGGATGCACATAGTTGGCATTGATTTTCTGTTAAGAAACGGGATTTTGGTGTATTTACGGAACAGGAGAGACATAGATTGGATTTTGGAGGTTTAGATTGTATTCGTTCTTGTAGATGATTGACTGAGTGGGATTTTCAAGGTGGTAAAAGGCAAGATCAAACCTCTGACTCACGAGTCTACTCAGTCGACATGTGTAGATAATAGTGATAATAGTTCCCTCTCTTTCTCATGCACGTATGCAGTAAAGCATGTGCGTTATTACAGATTTGGCTTTGCTCTTAACTGGAAAACGGTGTTTCTACTTTCTAATAGTAAGCCTTTTGAACCACAACGAGATGTAGTTTACTGTCTGTCATGTTTGATGCTTTTGAAATTATGCAATTGGTTATGCTAGAATTATGCTTAGTTCCTCGTGACAAAATTGTACAGGAAGCAGGCTATGCTTACGTACTTTCTAATTTAATGTTTATTGGTTAATTGGTCTTGTTCACATTGTAATTGATCTGTAGCATTCGTGCATAAATGTAATGCTTGGCTAGGTTCGTTTATGATTGCCTTCAAGGCTTTAACTGCACGTGGCAAAATGCCATCTCTAACTTATTTCATGTGAAGTTTTGATTAAAGAATTAATGTCCTGTAATCATAGGTAGTTACGATGACAAGCATTAAGGATTGGGTTTTCTCTCAAGTGATATCAAATTCAATAGGTTCGACCAGACCACTGTCAGCATCGGATAGCTTTTTGTCGCAGGAACCTCAGAATGAAGAGCTTGGAAACAGAGGTATCGCATTTCAGTTCACTACTATTTTCTAAGTCTAATGCATAGGAGATATGAGAATATTAGGATTTATCCTTGACTTTTTTTTTTCATTGTATTGTTGTCTTTTTCTAACAGGTGTATTTGTTTTTCTTACTATATTTTTTGACCATTGAAATACATATAAGTGGCAACCAATTTCATTTTGGTTAACTTAATTGTCAGTAATAGAGAGGACATATCATTCAGTATCTAAATCTCATTTTTCTTCATTATATTTGATGCTTGAAGAAGAATTATGTTGGCTTGACAAAACTGGTAATTCGACTGCTAAAAATCGAATCGTGTTTTCTTTTATTGATTTTCGTGTTCATCTTTGTATTGATAATGAGAAGTAGTGTCTAACAACAGTTGCTTGATATTTCATGTATCAGGTTTAACTCAAAACAATGCCAATTTAGTTTCACGGCCAGTTTCTACTGAAATACCTTCCCCATCTAGTGATAATCAGATAACTCAGAATCCCTTGCCACCACAAGTGGAAAATTCTTCCGGGTCCAATGTTATCACCGAGGAGAAACACACAGACCCTCTTGCAAAAGTTGAAGCTTTACAAATTACATTTTTACGTCTTCTTCGGCGATTTGCCCTGTTTCAAGATGACCTGACAGTGGCAAAGGTCTTATACCGCATCCACCTCGCGACTTTAATACGAGCAGGGGAATCAGATTTAAAAAGGGCGAATCTGAAAATTGGCAGAGCTCGAGTGATAGCTGCAGAGCAAGAAGAAACTGGTGTACCTCAACTGGACTTTTCTCTTAAGATTCTTGTTTGGGAAAACTGGTGTGGGCAAGAGTTCCACAATAAATTCCATACTTGGTGAATCAAAGGTAACGACCAATGCATTTCGGCCCGCTACTGATCGAGTTCAAGAGATTGTGGGACTTGTGAACGGCATCAAAATATCTTTCATCGACACACCTGGCCTATTTCCTTCCTCAACAAATTCCGACCGTAAAAATCGGAAAATTTTGCACTCGGTGAAGCGGTTTATTCAAAAATCACATCCGGATGTGATCTTGTATTTCGAACGCCTCGATTTGATTAGCATGGGCAATCACGATTTCCCGTTATTGAAGCTCATAACCGACGTTCTTGGTCCTGCAATATGGTTCAGCACCAATATTGTTATGACTCATTCATCTGCAGCCCTTCCGGAAGGTCAAAACGGATACCCCGTAAGCTTCGATTCCTATGTCTCTCACTGCACACAGGTGCTCCAGCACCATATTCACCAGTCAATATTGGATACAAAACTCGAAAATCCCGTGATTTTGGTGGAGAATCACCGCCACTGTAAAATGGACAACTCCGGTAAGAAGGTTCTCCGTAATGGGCAGTTATGGATGTCCCAGTTCATGTTGTTTTGCATATGCACGAAAATCCTCGGTGATGTCAACACTCTTTTGGAACTTGAAGACAGCATGCAATTGGGGCCCTCGAGAAATTCCAGGCTGCCTTCTCTGCCTCATCTGCTCTCGTCTTTTCTTAAACACCGTGTCAAATTGAGCTCAAATGGTGCGGATAATGAAACCGACGAACTCTCTTTCTCTGACACCGAAGAAGAAGATGAATACGATCAATTACCTCCTATTCGCATACTGACTAAATCTCAGTTCAAGAAGCTAAGCCCTTCTCAGGAAAAAGACTATCTTGATGAATTGGATTACAGGGAGACCCTTTACATGAAGAAACAGCTGAAACAAGAATACATGGCAAGAAAGGAGAAAGCCCCTGATGATAATATCGAAAGTCAAGAAGGTCCTCCAGAGCCAATTATGCTCCCAGATATGTCTGTACCTCCAAGTTTCGATTCGGACAATCCTGTCCATAGATTCCGCTGCCTTGTCACGAGTGACAGGTGGCTTGCAAGACCAGTTCTCGATCCACACGGATGGGATCACGATGTGGGCTTCGATGGAATCAACCTCGAGATAGCAGCACAACTGGGGAAGGATATAATCACCTGTGTTGCAGGACAGATGAGCAAGGATAAACAAGACTTCAATATCCAATGCGAGTCGACAGCAGCCTACGTGGCACCTAGTGGGCCCACGTACAGCGTTGGCCTCGATGTACAGTCTGCAGGCAAGGAATTGATCTGCTCAGTTCGAAGCAACGCAAAGGTGAAAACTCACAAGTACAATGTGGCAGAGTGTGGTGTTTCTGTGATGTCGTTTGGGAATCAGTACTATTACTGTGGCAAGATTGAAGATAGTATATCGATTAAGAAAAGGGTGGATTTGAAAACGAATGGTGGTGTGATATCAGGTAGTGGGCAATTTGGTTACAGTGGAAGCTTTGAAGCCACTTTGAAAGGGAAAGACTACCCTGTGAGAGAGGACAAGACGAGTCTTTCGGTGAGTCTTCTTTCTTTCAAAAAGGAAACGGTTTTGGGTGGGAATATACAGTCGGATTTCAGATTGGGAAGGGGTACAAGAATGTCGATAAATGCTAATTTGAACAGCAGAAATATGGGCCAGGTATGTGTAAGAATGAATAGCTCTGAGCATATGGAAATAGCTTTAGTTGCTGTTGTATCCCTCTTGAGAGCCCTTTTCCGAAAGAAGTCGAACAACAACTTTAGCAGTAGCGAAACAACAGAAACGGGATAGTTTTTTTTCTCTTTCTTTTTTTATGATGCGGAATTGGAAAAATCGACGATGTTGGCGAAGAAATTTGTAGGGAAGAGGAATGTTGATGTCTTTTTTGGATCTTGTATATCACCTATCCTATACAGGAAAATTTGATGGAATTGGTTCCATTATTTTTTTTTTCCGTAATAAATCCGTGTTTGTTATGTTTTTCAAAATATTTTTGAAAAACGATTCGAAAAGTTTCATTCAAACATGATTGGGTTTTGTTACAGGAAAAAAAATGTTTTCATTAAATATAAATAATCAAAAAAATTATGTTTCAATTTTGCCTTGTGTTACATGACAAAAGTAAGGTAGATAAGCAAGATGGCTCCACTAGTCATATCTAGAAAAGATAATAATGTTTGACTAATTGACCCTTTTCATAGTAACGTATCAAAATTGAATTGCATGTGGATAGATATATGAAAAAATAAAATAAAATAATAATAACAAAAATTGGAGTCCACCTAAATCCTATACAAAAAGCACCATTCACGAAACAAGTACATGCGTTTACATTTCTCGTGTGGTTTCCCGACGTCTAATTCTTACGATTTTCCTATACAACAAACAACATTTGGCGTTTTACATCTCTCGTGTGGTTTGCCGACGTCTAATTCTTGCGATTTTCCTATACAACAAACAACATTTACGCAAAGTAACTATGCACACAAACTCAATTAATTACAACACACAAGGCAATTATTAACAGCAAACAATTTTTCAAGAAAATGATCCCCAAAAAAGAATAAAAAAATCAAGGCGAAGAACCCCATAAAACCTCAGAAATAATGGTGGCACATTCAGCAGCATCAGAAACACAAGCCTCCCTAACTCTGTTCAGTATCACCTGTTTCAAAGCCCTCTTCTCTCTCTGCCTCAGACCTTCTCCCATTTCAATCTGCACCGCAAATCTCGCCACGCACCTCTCGAACGGACTCTCCTTCGTCGTCTTCGTAGTCTCGTAAGACCTCTGTAATTCGACCAGCTTCTTTATCAGTCCGCCGTTGATCATAGCTTCCACGGCTTCTTTCCTACCGAAAAACCCGATTTCCATTAAGCAATTGAATGCCGTCGCTCTCGATTCCGATTCTTCCGATAAATAACCGACGATCCTGGAGATCCCGCCACGGGATTCGATTTCCTCCACCAAGGGGCTCTTGATTGCCTTTATCAATGATGAGAGGACTTGCAGAGAAGAAGGGGAATTCATCGAGATTAATGCGTCCACACTTCCTCCGACGAGTACCGATCCTACGAACACGTCTTTGTTGAAGAGTACGAGTTCTTTCATGGCGATTGCCGCCTTGTCGCGGACGGTTATGGAGAAACGGGGGTTGCAGAGAACCCATTCGAGCTCTGCGAAAACCCCTGATTTCAGCAGAAGGTCTTGCAATTGTATGTCGAAACCCTGCGAGAGCCGCTCCTGCAGAAGGGTAATTTTGTCGAACAGTTTGTCTGCATCGAACGACGGCGGCGAGTTCGCCGGCGAACAGCGAATCGCCGACAGGGTTTTTGTCAGGTTGGACACGGTTTCGCCATCGATCAAGGATCGGAGCTCCGATTCGATACCGGCGGCGAGCCGGGAAACCTCGTGGGACCTTACTCGGTGGGCTACAAACGATATGAGGCCGTGTTTTGATGGTTTGCAGTTATGAAGCTCCTGAACAGAATCGACCAAACGGGAGATTTGTTGAGAGAGGGAAAACGGAAGCGAGGCTGAAGCTGCCCGGAGCTCGAGTAAAGCTTTAATGGCGGATGAGTCGGAATCCGGCGAGTCGTGACTCGGTTGGAAATCGTGGGAAACCCGGTTGAGAGCTTCAAGAATTTTGAATAAGCGGTGATGTGTGTCAATCGTTTCTGGTTCTTCTCTCTCCTCCATTGCATCAGATTTTCAGATTCTAGAGAGAGAAGAAAACGAGAGACAGATCTTGTACGTGTATGTATGCAAAAAGTGGGGATATAAAGAATGGGAAAATCTAGAAGAAGAAGACCCGCCATAATTTTCTTTTTTTTGCTGATTTATAAAAATAAATTAATAAACTTTGAACACACGTTCCATAAAATAAAATAATTTTAAGAAACTGCAGAGAAAGACAACCCTTGAGAAATTTGACTGACTTTATACAAAAGAAAATTGCTTGGTCTTTCATTTTACAGTAACAAAATAATATTTTGTTGTCTCTTTTCAATTATTCTAGTACATGTGTTTTCTTAGCCTACCTGAGTTTAATCTTTTTGGCTCGTATTTGGGTGGTAAGTTGTTACAAGGTTTACGTTCTTAAATGTCAAGTTAAGTTAGTTACGTACATGTACACGTGGACCAATAAACAATGCATTCCTTTTTTTGATAAATTATAAGCAATGCATTCATGCCCAGCATATTCGAATCTTAGCATCTAATTTTGGAATATTAAATGCATGCTAACTAGTAATTACACGGAGCCTACACCCGGACGGATTTTCTGCTGCCACGTGTCCCTTTTTTTTTTTGTCTTTTCTAAACCCCTAAAAGTAAACCCTAGCGAGGGAATATATTATAAAATACAAATAAAAACACGTGACAGCAGAAAACTCACCTGGTGTTTATCAAGGGTCGAAGAAGTCGTAATTACACTATGATTTAATTTGTTAAGCTTCGATTAATTTACTCAAAGCCCAACACCAAAATTGTGGATCCAAGCCCAAACTCAAAGTTACATGCTAAACATCACATATGTTTAATTAATAATTATTTCTCAAACAAAAAAAAAATTAATAATTCAAGAAAATGACCATAAACTCTAAAAAACAATAGTCAGAAACCAATTACTTACACCCTGCCCCTGGTTTTTTTTTTTCTATACAGAGCCATATCCCAAGCAGTTGAGGCATCTTTGAACCCTACAAAAACAAGAATGCAAGAATAACCCTTTCACAACCTCGTTCAATTACGACACATGATTTATTTATTTAGTATTATTATTTTATTTTTATATGGGATAAGAAGTTTTCGAGCAGAAACGACTCACTTGAATCCATCACAAGTAGGGCAAACACATGGATTGATAAAAATTGGATCATAGAGCGGGGACCACTTTATCGTGCCATTCCCTTCACACAGCTTGCACTTGTAGTACCCTATTGCTTTACAATTCCGACACGATTTCCCGTATTTTGTCTGCAAAACTGACCTGTATTACACGAGTGCACGTGGCATAATCACAAGAAGGAAAAATTGACGTGTGCAATTACGAATGCTAATAGATTTTTACTGCAGTCCTAACTAAGCTAGTTCTTGAAAAAAATCAAGAGGAGCACAGACGAATGCGTGTATTTGTAACCTTTTTAATCGAGGCGATGCGATCAGAAACGGAAGAGCTCAGAAAACCGATAGCGAAACTTCCACCAAGAACTGTAGCAGCAGCTGTAGCTACCACACGGAATACTTTGGAAGCACCCAAACCAGACATTTGAAATAACTCTTCTTGGAGTGTTTCTTAACTGCCCGAAAAAAAAAAACGAGAACATTTTTAGTCGAATTAACACAATTTCTCAAAGAATGATTTCGATAAAACTCGTAGTAGTGATAACTGATAACTAAAGGTCTGTAAGTGGATTAAAACATCAATTGCTCAACAACAGAAGATATCAAAGATAAAAACGAGGAAAAGGCGAACAACACTGCACATTAAAATCCTAATCGATAGAAAATAACTATTGCTCGGCTCCTCAAACACGATAGAATGAGAAAATCATCATAAACGTAAACCTAAAAAAAAAAAGATCAAAAACAGGGAATTGAGCCTAACAAAATGTACTAAAATTCCATGCAGTTTCTAGTTAGAACAATTAATTCATCGGAAAAATAGAATCGACAGTCGAAAGCTAGATTCCAGAGTTAGCTAAAAATGAAATGCGAAAAAAATCAATAAGTATCCAGAAACTGTGTATAATATATAGCAGCTGCAATGGCGCCTATGTGTAGTGGGGGCATCAACTAGCAAATAAAGAAAGCAGGGCACACAATACAATTCGAATTCCTCAAACCCTAACTAGGTTAATCAGATGGCAATTCGACAAAAAAAATTGCTTAACAAAAAGAAATTGCTTTGAGTGTTAGAATTTATAAACGCAAAACGCTGCAAATACATTTTCATAACAAAAAATTAAAACGAAACGAAGAAATTACTCTGTTAGTTGCCGGATTTTCGCCGGAGCAGCTGAACTTTCCGATTTAAACAGTGTAGAGAAATGAAAAGGAGTGGCGGATTCAAACTGGGAAGAAGGAGAGCGAAATTAACCCATTTTCTTAATTGTTATTTTGGGTAAATTACAATCACCCCTCTCTATGGTCAAATTAAAAAAAAATCATATAATATTTGTAATTACAGTTACCTCCATCAATTGTGAATCTTTTTACACGCCATCCTTATAATTTCAAATTCAACATAATTTTCTAGATTCCGTGGAATTTTGTACTTGTTTTGTGCAAAAATGCAGTCTTCTAATGCACTACAACCTGTTCTAATGCACTACAACCTGATATATACAAGCAAAAAACACATCTTATGATCATCTTGCTTCAAAATGTGGAGTTCGAATTTGATGAAACGGATACAAACTTGAGAATATTCCATATAATCTAAAATATTCGATTAAATTTGACACCGCAAGAATGGATGTGTAAGAAAATTCATAGTTGAAGGTGGTTGTAACTTATAATTACTCAATAACATGATGGGGTTTTTCGTAATTTGACCTTACCTCAGGGGTGTGACCGTAATTTACCCTTGTTATTTTTAAGGCCTATAATCATATTATTGGGCTTTCGGGTAACCATTTTTCTCGGGTCGGGTCAGCAACATCACATCCAATGATAATCCGCCAAGTGTCCTCCTCCCCCCTCCTCCGCTCCGGCGCATTTTTTACGCCGCGGAATTCAACAAACAAACTCGAAGGAAATTCTAAAATGCGCCTCCCCAATCACATCACCCACCTAATCTGCGCAAACTAGCGTGGCTGTATATATATATTTGTATATATAAATATATAGTTATAGTTAAATCACCCGGCGATTGTCGTCAGTTTTCACTCGTTTTTGTTTCGAAGCGAAGCTTTCACACTTGACTTCCAATTTCAGGTAAAATCACTCTCTAATTATCATACTACTGTGTGTATTTTTATACGTATACTGTGTGTAAAATGAATATGAATGCGGCACTGTATCCCTACACATTTTACCAGCAAATTGTTTATGTCGGAATTGAATCAAGTAAATCCGTGTGGATTTTTGGTTGATACCGGTAATTTTCATTGTGGATGTTGATTCTCAGTCTGGTTCGCTAGATTTTCACACGTGGTTGAGATTTTTGTGCTGTGATTTAATGATTCGGTGAATCAATGATCTGGCGTCGGTTTTTTTTTTTTTTTTTTTTTTTAATTTAATTGTGGATCGTGTTTTGTTTGGACGAATATTTTGTATTGAAGTATTGCACTTTGACAATTGATGATTGTTTCGTATTGAAGTACATTGTTCTAGTCTTGTGATGCTATTGATCATGTATTGGTGATGTGCAGGAAATTAGGGAAATTTGAATCGATGTTGGTTCGGCTGTTGTTTCTGTCATCTGTTCTCTTGATCTGCGTAGGGAGTGCGAATGCCGGTAAGACTAGTGGCTTTACTCGTAATGAGTGGCCGTCGATTGATATTCCATTAGACAATGAAGTATTTGCAGTTCCTAAAGGTTACAATGCTCCACAGCAAGTGAGTGCGGTTCTTAGCTGTCGTATAATCTCGTTCGAGAAAGAGGCAAAGAGTGAAAAACTATCATACTAAAAGATTGGTGCTATTGTTTTTCAGGTGCACATCACACAAGGTGACTATGATGGGAAAGCCGTTATAATCTCATGGGTAACCCCTGATGAACCTGGCTCCAACAAAGTTCAGTATGGCCTATCAGAAGGAAAATACGATTTTACTGCAGAGGGGACGGTGCAGAACTACACCTTTTACGACTATAAATCTGGATATATTCATCAGTGTCTAGTTGATGGTCTACAGGTAACTATGTTCAGCACTGTGTAAATTGTAGTAACATTGGCTGGATGATGTAAATTGTAGTAACATTGGCTGGATGATGTAAATTGAAATAAGCAGTATTTTTGGTGTTTATTTGTATGTAGTATGAAGACATAGGAGTTAGATTCAGTTAACGCCAATGTTTTTCTCAAATTTTCGGACAATAATAGAAACCAACTGTGTTTTGCAGTATGACACAAAGTATTACTACGAGATTGGGAATGGTGATTCGTCTAGAAAGTTTTGGTTTCAAACACCTCCGAAAATTGATCCAGAGGCTTCTTACAAATTTGGAATAATTGGTCAGTGTTTATTGTCTTTACAATTTCTCTTATGCTAGAGAACCACCTTGCACGAGATCCTTCATGTTTAGTGTCATGTGGCTTCAGATGCTACTATCCATGATTGTTTTGCTCTGGAATATTCATTGTGAATGTTATCTTTTATTTTTTGTAGGTGATCTTGGCCAGACATATAATTCTCTTTCGACTCTTGAGCATTCTATGCAGACTGGTACACAAGCCATCTTATTTGTCGGAGATCTTTCCTACGCTGATAGATATGAAAACCATGATGTTGGTGTCCGTTGGGATTCATGGGGTCGTTTTGTTGAACGGAGTGCAGCATATCAGCCATGGATCTGGTCAGCTGGAAATCATGAAATAGAGTATTTTCCACAAATGGTAAATTGTCGTGACAAATATTTTTTGAGTTTAATTATTAGTTATTCAGAAAGTCTCCATCAATATTTAGAAAATTTTGTTTCTCATCTAATTTTCTTGATTCAAACGGTTTTTTTTCTGTTTTTGCGTCAGCTCTCTTAATGACTCGACTTGATCTTAATGTTTTTTCATGTTTATACTATCACATAGAAAGTCTTAATATATGAACAACCATAACAATATTTGTCACGTTTTGTGTTCCTTTTTACTGACCACTTTTTATGTTTTCTCCGATGTTCAGCGGGAGGTTATACCTTTCAGAAATTATCTTCACAGATATCCTACACCTTATCCTGCTAGCGAAAGCAGTAGTCCTCTGTGGTATGCCGTGAGACGGGCCTCTGCCCATATCATTGTCCTGTCAAGCTACTCTCCATTTGGTAATTTAGTATTGTCATATATGAATTTGGTCTTGCTTATTTCATTTCGGTGACGCGGTATTAATCTTTATTCATGCACGTAAAGTGACTATCTTGTTTAAAAAATGGAAGCTTAATGTTAATTGTTAACTAACTTGACCCTGGTTAAGCATCTTCATATATTGTTATAATGGTATATCGGCCAATACAATATTCCTTGCTAATGTGCCAATTCGACGCTAGTTTTTAGTCCTTGTGAATTATTAGTAACCATATGCTATTTGTTTTCTTGTAATTGATGTTTTTTCCTGTGATCCCATTGTTACAAAAAACTAGAAGGAAACTATCTCCTGTAATAGCTTCAAGCTTGATAGAATAATTTGATGTTTGTAATTTCATACTTGTAACTTGTTAATTCATAAAAAAATATAGATAGTCATAATAAACTTTAAAGCCGAGGTTTAAGTTTATATTCTACTAATGTCCTAAAATGAGGAAAAAGAAGAAGAAGAAAAACCATCTTATGCTTATTGCACAACTAGAACCCTCAAATAGGTTAATTTGTAATTTCCATCTCTGGATAGTCGTCACATGCATCTGCTTATCTTCATAAATGCTTGGCGTGTATTTAATTTCTGTGAATTCTAAACTGGCAGTAAAATATACACCTCAGTGGAAGTGGCTTCGACAAGAATTAAAAAAGGTTGACCGACAGAAGACTCCTTGGCTTATTGTTCTGATGCATGCACCAATCTACAATAGCAATGAAGCCCATTTCTTTGAGGGGGAAAGCATGAGAGTAGTTTACGAGAGCTGGTTCTGTCAATATAAAGTTGATGTTATCTTTGCTGGTCACGTGCATGCTTACGAAAGATCGGTTTGTTTTCTTCATCCAAGTGTTCAAATTCTGAATTCCATGATATATAGTATTTATTTTTATTTTTTGTCACTGTCATGCCAAGGTAGATAACATAATGGTTGAATTTACCCGATTTTAAGCTTTCCCCCTTGAAAGGTCTTCTTCACTCAACAAAACTAATATATAAAAAATGTTCTCTTTGTATTCTGAACCAAGCTGCGCTTAATAGTAACTAGGTAATGCGAAACTTGAAAAATATTCGCCTACTGCGTGTTATTTATCACTAATAATATGAGTAGCAATAAACAACATTTGTATGCACTTCAATCATTTTTTTTCCTTTGTTTAATGTTCGAGTGTTAAGATAGTGAACTTCTGATTGCAGTATCGAATCTCAAGTTTAAGACAAAATGGTTCTTCCTATCCGGTACCAGACAAATCAGCTCCTGTTTACATAACAGTTGGGGATGGAGGAAACCAAGAAGGTCTTGCTAAAAAGTAAGCTTAAATAATTGTGCTTCCCATTTTTCAATTATATATATGACGTGGCTAAATTTGATATCTGCAGATTTAGAGATCCCCAACCAGATTATTCTGCTTTTCGAGAAGCCAGTTACGGACATTCTACATTAGAAGTGAAGAATAAAACACATGCCATTTACCATTGGAATCGAAATGATGATGGGAAGAGAGTACAGACCGATACATTCGTGCTACACAACCAGTACTGGTGAGTACACTTCAAAACTCTGGTGTGATATTTAGTTCGCAAAAATTTAAGTCGTAAGTCTTGAATATGTCAGAACTTGGATCAGGTTTTAACGGAGTAAGGTCCTGAATTTTGTTTTCGTTTGCGGCATTATGCTTAAGATTGTTGATTTTTTATACACACTTGTTCGAAGAACAAATATGTAAAGATGTAAATGGTGGTGATGCAGGGGTAACAGTCGTAGAAGAAGGAAACTGAAGAAAAAAGTTCTCGATTATGCCATTGCCAATTTGTAAAGCAGACAAATTTGTTCGATCTTCGCTAAGAGACAACACCGCAATTTGGCAGAGAGCTAATTTCTTGAGATGAGGAAATCAGAGCAGCCTAATAGAAGGTATCGTGTTGATCTAAACGGCATTTTCCTGATCCGTGTAAGATAAATTTAATTTCTATTACAGCTTTTGTTCAATCAATATAAGATCATTTAATCAAAAATCACATTTATGTTGATTTTTGGTGAACCGATTACTGTAAATAAAGAGTACGAGTATCGAAGAAAGTTTGTGAAAATAGCAGCACCCAAATGAAATGATTTTCCATGAAGCAAATTTGATTATTGTACGTAAAACTTGTCCCGACTTTACTCCGGTATCTACTTCAACATTTCCGCAACTTAACTGTCTATTGCTCGAATAAGTATATACACAGAAGTCTTACATACACAAAAATCACTTTTACAATCACATTACTAGATAAATGTAGGCCGATCGATGTCACTGGGAAGAATTTGAATATGCTCTCTGTATGCATCTATATAGCCGGAGTAATGTATAAATATAAGCCACAAAACAGTTGACTAGGACGAGTCCCGGTAAATCGGTTGTGGGTTCCACTTGAGATTCAAGTTAATTGTTCCTGATTTAGCACCATCCAGAGGAAATGCATCTTTATATTCACCTTCCAATAGAACTCTTGTTAATGTTAAGATACATCTTCCCATATAATCCTGCATACGAAGAAAAACGTAGAAATATACTAAGACCTCATTTATTTTTTAGTTAGATAAGTCATGATTAATTAAATAATTTGACCTTATCTGATATTTGATTAGTTCTAATTATGAGAAAAATGAGCTCTTATATTGGTTGATAAGGGAATTATAGAATTAAGTAGTCATAAAATTGTATAATCCTATTTTGTTGGATCATATTTTGGCAACAGAAATGTGGCCTTAAAGAACAAAACTGGATATTCGGATGCCTAACCTAACAGCTAACACGGTTTGAATTATGACAGGGCTATAAACTAAGACATGTCATTTCTCATGCAGGAAAAGTAGAGACGTATACGAGATTGATATGAAAATATATTGATTTGTAGGCTAATGCACAACTTTTTTTCAATTTACATAAATTTATTTTGGTAACCACTTTTTTTTTAACTGTCCATGATTAACCGACATAATGCACTACAAAATAACAGAGGGAAGACGAGAGCAATAAGGTACCTTCCCAAACGTGTCGTGGTCCCACACTTCTATAATTAGCATATCATGCAATCCATCCTCAACAACGAAATCGAAAGTTTGATTCCAGACAGGATTTAAACTTTCATTCACAACCTTGAAACACAAGAAACATAAATTAACAATTAATTAATATTTAAAAAAAAAAAAAGAAGAATCAAAAGTTTTTCAAAAAACCGAACTAAAAAGCGACGTACCCTGGTTTTGTTTTTCGATTCGGTTTTCTTCAAAGTGACCACCACATAAGGATCAGCCTTCCCCATCAAGTCAGTCGGTGCCAAATCTTCAGCAGATATGACAGTAACAGAAAGTACACCTCTTACTATAACATCTCTCTTTTTATCACCATTTTCAACTACATCTCTCCCCTCTGCCCCGCTATTAAAGACCTTCTCCAGTGAAGTCTCGGTGTACTTCTTGGCAAACGGATTCGTAAAGCCATTTTGCATTCCAGTAGGGCAATAAAGAAGCTCCAGTTGCACCTAAAACGCGCAAGATGCAGAGATAAAAACAAGATTATTTTTCCGCAAATTATTAATAGAAATTAGAAGCTCGGACAAGAAGATTTATTACCTGACCCCTATTTTTATTGTCCCTTTGAATCTCCAAATCTTTGACCAAGTTCAGCCACACATCCTTCACTTTGCCAGGCTGAAGCTCAGATAGCCGAATTTGAGCACATCCAATTAGTTCCGCTGCCTGAAGACCTTCGTCGTCGTAAATTTTAACCACCAAGTGTTGAGTTGAAGCGTCTTCAATTACAAACTCGAAATGTTCATTCCAGACTGGGTTCAACTGGTTGTTCTAGGGGATAAAAGAGAGAATATAAACGGAATTACATATCTCTCCGAATTGGTGAAAGGATAACGGAGAAGATACGTATGAAACAGGAGGATATTTAAAAGCGCTTACAATTGTCCTGCCCTTCTTCATTCTGTCGCGCAGTGGCCGAACATACAAGACAGCAAAAGGATCAGATTTCCCTATAATGTCTTTATTTGTCAAGTCTTTTGCTTGCACAAGCTTTACCTCCAGAATTCCAACAGGCTTCAGTTCAAGGTCACTGAAAAACCGAAAAGATTTTGTTTTTTGTGCATGTATAGGATTTTCAATGTTTTGTCCAAAGTACTATAAGCATTTCTTATCACCATTTTTAGTGGAGAAAATTAAGTGAAATAAAGAACGAAATATGAGTTGCTAAAATGTGGCACATACCTATAATCTCCAGGCAATATAGGGATAACTTTACGAACTGGCCATGTAATAGAATCTTCGACAGCATCCCTTATAGTAGTCTATAAAAATAAATACCCCTCGATTATTTCCAAAAGAGCAAAAGAAGATACGGAGAAAGTAATAAGATCATCAATCATCATCTTCTTTTTCTTGTTCTAGTGAAAAAAAAAAAAAAACCTCAATGGCATCAGAAAGGCCGGGTATTGTTGATAGATCTCCTCCAATAACTTTAAGTGTAAAATCCAGCTTTTTCTGAATGTCAAAACAAAGAAACTTGTTAGTTGCTTTCATGCATTAAACGATGGCATGCTCCTATATCTACCTATGTATATGGGCAATAACTTATCTATTACACCGTGCATGTGTGAGAAGTGAATGGTCCAAAAACTTCAACTTTTATCGGTATAATGTCTACGGGGACATTGAGGAAATTGACAGGCCTAGCACAAAGATATTGCTAATACATTTGTATGCATATTGTTGACCTAGACTTGCTTCGTCATAATAAATACTAAACTTCTGTAAGAAGAATCGAAAGACTGGTTAAAGGAAACACCATACCTTTTGACGTAGTGAGAAGCAAACAGCTCCAAAGCAAGGAAACTCGTCAACTAGTGGTCCGAACATCAACCGGAAGACCCCAGTAAATGCAATGTTTTTCACCTACAAAGAAAAAATTATCACAGTGAAGGGAATTTGCAATTTTAATCGAAAGAAAATTAATTGATTAATGACTATAAAAGAGTCAAGTAACAGTATATTCATATTTTTAAAGCATAGAAGTAAATGGCCCCAAAAGAAGAAAATCTTCAATGCATCTGCTGAGATAAAGAAATGCTGAATAAAATAAATTCTCAGAATGACAACTGCGTAATATAAAGGATCTGAATGTCGAGGATCAAATTTCGAACATAATTCCAAAACTTAGGTTTTAGCTATAATTTAAAACATCCATACTCCCACTTTACAAGATTGAGAAGGGAAAATAAGAGATAAGTAATAAATTATCATAATGATGACTAAAACATAATCGGAACTCGGAATCTCCAAGGTAAAAAACAGCCACATATTGGCGATTTTGAAGCTCTTATTCAGAAGCTCGGATATTAACATAAGGTCATCACGAAGAAATCAACCAAAGGAGTGTGAAAGATAAGCGATATTGTGTAGGATTTATTTTAAACCATAATTTTAAAGGTTATCATTTGGCTATAAATTGGACTATAAGCAAGGTTCTTAAGTTTCTAAATTTCAAGAGAAGAAGAAATCTCTTCCTTACCTGCACAGGAAGAGCAACACCAAGATAAGTCTTAATATCAAGTATTATGTTTGGGTTCCCATCCCACTGCATCTCCATCTCCATGGTGATTCCTTCGGTTCCATCTTCAACAATAGAAATACCTGAGGCATTAAATAATTAGTGCACGCATCACCATTCAGTAAGCATATCTGACATAAGATTGATGCTACCAACACGTTTGGTCTTATGTTTTAGGACAACATTTAAATACATGAAATTATCTTCTCCAAGTTATATCTCTTTGTTATAGGATCTTTCTTTCTATGAGTGTGGACAGAAGCATACAACTCAAGGGAATTATGCATGAAAAACGAGCGGAATAATGTTTGAATGTCGTCAATAAGTAGCTGATGAGTTTAAAACAGGGCTAAACCTCTGAGATATGACAATTATTTCTCAACGGTTCAGCCCACATTTCGTCATATAGGAGAATAGCTACACATGCAAAACTAGAAAGTCGGATGATGTTAAACTAGGATCAAGAACAGAAATCCATAATCAAACCTGTGAACTGAGGGGCTACAGTTCCAAGCGTGAACTTTGAAAAAGTCAAAGAAGCCAATATAACCGGCCTATATTGCTCTAAGATTGGCTCCACATTCGCCTTTATCAGTTCAGACGCTGCCTTCAAACCCCAAAACAATCCAAAAATCAACAAAATTTTACCATAAACGAAGTCGAAAAGAAAAAGAAAAAAGAAAACATAACCAATACTCGAGAAACATCATAATCATAAATCATAAATAAAAAATCGAAAACCACGAATCCAAGCAAAAAAACCACACCTCGTTGACATACGGCCAGATCTTTTCCAGGTGAAGGTTAAGCCAAGTTAACTAAAAAAAACAAAGCACACAAAAAAAAAAAAAAAAAATAGCCTCAGAAATCCATTTGTACATACGAATTGAACAAGTAAAACATTTATCTAAAACAAAATAAATAGCAAACCTTTTGGCGCTGCGAGAACACAACCCAAGATGGATAAAACTCCGGCGACAACAACTTCCTCGAATCATCCACCGTCATTCTCGCAAACGCCGCAATCGTACCGGCCTTCCCAAAAAAAAAAATAATCAGAAACCACTTCCTCAAACACCAATTCAACCACACTCCAAAAAATTTAAAAAAATAATCAACAACAAATAAAACTTACAAGGTCGGAGCGCTGCTTAGATCGGGCATTTTCGGAGCGAACGAAAGCAACAATCAGAGCTAATCCGACGACTAATCCGATCACCAAACCTGCTACAAAAGACATTTGCCTCCTCCTCCTCGAATTCTGCGCCTCCCTCGCTCTCTGATTTTCGAATTCCAACTTCTAGATATTAATTATCCTCTCTCTCTCTCTTCCTCTTCACTTTCTGTCAAAATACAGACAAATGGAAGCAAGAGTGTGAGAGAGCTGTGGGTGTGGGGACTCGATTTTGATGGTCGAAGTATATATATACACATATACATACACTGGTACACCCTTATGTATGTATATATATATATATATATATATATATATATATATATATATATATATATATATATATATATATATATATAAGTGTGTGTGTTGTGTGGGTGTTTTGGATTAACGGCGATTAGAGTTCCCTAATTAATTCACCGTTGTAATCAATGTTTAAAGACGGCCAGACTGTTGTTTTGGGGGAGCGGGGGAAGAGAAAGGGCACTTTCGGAATCAATACTTATTTACTTATTTTTATTATTTTTATATTATTATTATTATTAATTATATTTGAGGTGCATAATTTGAAGATATCTTCTCAAGTTATTATTAATGCAAATATATTTTCTTTTTTCAAATGATTTTCAGTAATGCAGCTATCTATTTCAAACTCGCATCCACTTGAGTAAATTAGAATTAAGTGAAATTTTTTTATTTTTTTTATTAATGGTTATATATTTCTAAATTTTAATATTAAATAATGCTAAAAAAAAGTATGTAGTAAGCACGAGCATGGTTTAATAATTAAAATAATTCAATATGATTTTCTGAAGGATAAATAAGTCATTTGAGTATGATAGGGACTAAAGAGTCATTTTACTTAAAATTAAGTGAAGTGGAAGTATTGATACTTTATAGGGGGGCCCCGTCAAAAGGTGCATTTTTCAAGGGTGTGATTTGTGAAAGTGTGTGATTTCCTTGCCGACATATTCAGTTGACAAATATAATGAGAAAATAAATAATAAACAAGTCAACCAATAATGAACCTCCACGTGGCATCCCCCAATTATAGGTACTCTTCTCTTGTCTTCTATCACACCTGCATCCCAATTATAGGTGTTTTTATTATTTTATTTATTATTTATATTTAAATAGAGGTGTTTTTATTTTTTCAAATTATAGATATGGAATGTTTTTGTATTGTTTAGAAGAAAAAATGACAGATTTGACCTTGTATTATTGTGCATATTCAAATGCATTGGTTATAGGTAAATTACAGTTCCCAAATGTATGGTCAAATTACGAAAAAAATTGTTATGATTGTGTAATTATAGCCACTTTTCAATTATGAATTTTCTCATACGTCCACCTTTATGAAGTCAAATTCAACATAATTTTCTACATTCCGTGCAATGTTCTCTAGTTTGTACTCGTTTTGTGTAATAATATAGTTTCTGATGTATCACAATCTGATATTTTCAAGTCAAGAGACACATCTTACGATCATCTTGTTTCAAAATGGAGCTCGAATGGGGTAAAACGAGTATAAATTAAAGAATATTTCACATAATCTAGAAGATTCCACTAAATTTTGACACCGTGAGGCGGACGTATAAGAAGATTTATAGTTATCGGAGGTTTTTATAATTATCCTAACATAAAGGTGTTTTTGAAATTTGACCTTACCTCATGGGGTGCCGTAATTTACCCTTGATTATATATGCTTGATACTTATTATAAAATTAAATATAAGGTAAAATGTATGTTATTTATAATTTCATGTAATTCATTTTTCTGTAAAATAATTTGAATTTGCACAAAAATGATATGGCGAATAATTTGTGTTGAAATAATTAATTTGTTGGGCCTAACTCTACCACATTATCTACAATAATTAATTTATTATCCCAAAACTTTGGGCTAAACTTAAATAATAATATGCAGCCCAAAAAAAGAGCTGCCCATTTAGTCAGCCAACAAAATACCAAAGTCCAGCCTGGGATTTTTTTTTTCTTTCTCCTATTATGTCGGAATGATATTATTTTAATTTTTATATTACTTAATACAAAAACCTTATTTCCCAAAATAAAAATAAAACCCATTTATTATATTTTTAATTTTTTATTTTATTTTCATACTTTCAATTTATTTTTTCACATTAAAGAATATATAATATATATAATTAAAAAAAAAAATTGATGTCATGAATTAAAAATATACCAACCAAAACATTTTAGAGTTACTCCAATATAAATCTAGGTAAGGGGAGCAACTACTTTACCTGCTCAGCCGGCTGTCACCATGCTCCACTTAATTATTAGTCACTTGAAATAATCAACAAAAAATCAAAAAATAAAATAAATAAATAAAGGACCACAATATTTTTCTTTTATTTGTTGTTTATTCGTATGCGATTTCATGTCATCCAAAACATGATTTTTTATTTTTTTATTTCTTTTAACTTTTTGTACAATTGTAGTCACAATCAATCTATTATTAACTTATTCAAAAAAAGAAAATATATTATTAAATTCATTTGTCACATTCACATATCCCATTAATTTCGTATGGACCCATGAATATCAATGATGTACCAATTCGACCCATTTTATTCGAGTTATTGTACTTTATCGATCCTCTTCTAATCGAGACATGATATTTTTTTTTTCTAATTTTTGTAATGTCGAATTTATTATTATGAACTATAATTATAATGAAGGTAAAATTAGATCACCTTTATTAGTTGCAGTAGGCTGAGCTGGAGGAACAACATAGGTCACTGGCTCACGAGCTAGATGGTCTTGAGACTCCTGCGAACAGAGTATACGTAAACTAAGTTAGATGTGCGGCTAGTAGAAACAGTTGAGAGAATACGAGCAATTCAATTGCTTAGATCATAGAACGTCCCTTAACAAATGAATTACATCATTATTTATACCTCATTGATTGGGCTGAAGTTAATTTGTCGGACTCAAACCTTATTTGAAGGTGATTGGGCATTTATAGTAATAATTTTCTAAATCAGGCTCATGGTTCAGTAGGTAAATAAATTATATGTCAGTTAGACTGACCCAATTAGATATATCATTAAATTGTAAAAAATCATGTCATCTAAATGCAAATGTAACAAGAAGTGGAACACACTCAATAGTCTATTATCATGGCAACAAGTGGAAACATAGACTGTATAATTAAGGTCCAAACGACTATTACATCACGTGAATTAATTAAGAATCATTGGGTGTCACTTAAATACAAACAAATCTCTAAATTAAATAAAGACAGAAGACTTTACAAGTGGGAAAATTAACTATTCACAATAATTTCTAGGTCCACTTTGTTGTAAAATAAATGGAGTTTATGTACGGATCGAAAAAGCTCACTTATCGTCGGATTTAGAGCCGACGGAGATGAACAAGACGACTGAAAAAAAAGTAAAAAAAGAGAGAATTCGAGAGAAAGTATAAATTTGAATAATTTATTGTGCAAAATACGATAGCAAAATCAGATATCATATCATAACAAAATCTTGATTTTGTATATTTGTTGAAGAGATTACGATCCCATTAAATTCAACAACTAAATATTCAAATATTTAGTATTTCAGTATAGTAATTTTTTAATTTAATTTTTATAATATAATGTCATAGTTGACCCTACTAAAAGTAAAATGCATGGATCCAGTTACAGATCAGGTTATTTGTCATTGGAATCTCTTCAATCCCTTACTAAAAATTTCTTCTATCAAGGAGTAATTAATAATATTTAATTCCAGATCAAGTTTTCAATTCAAGCTTAATTATTTTACCTATTAATATTCACATTTACATATTTGTACATGTGAATTTGAGTAGATAATGATTAAAAAAATATTTAAAAATAATATATATAAATAAAATAAAATCAAATCAAATGAAAGAGGGCAGATGATAAGTGATAACTAATGAAAGACTGCATTAAATATATCCACTAGTAACTGCAGCATTGTCACTCCAATAATAAAATCATTTTTTTTATATATAATATTGTATATAAAAACATAAGAATTACATATATATATATATATATATATATATATTATATATTATATAGAAGTGGACTCTAATTAGTCTTCTTAACAGACATGAATTACAATTAAGGTAAAATTATAAATTGTTTTAAAAAATAATATAAAACCCTATTTTTAATTTAATTTAATCATAATATAATAATAATAATAATAATAATAATAATAATAATAATAATAATAATAATAATAATAATAATAATAATAATAATAATAATAATAATAATAATAATAATAATAATAATAATAATATAAAATCGAAATTTAATTTAATCATAATATATATATAATAATAATAATATAAAATCGAAGGGTCGAGCAGGTACGTTTCAGTATTGATACCAGTGAGGGAGAAACTCTGTGCTGTACTTCCACCAACAGCGCAACGGATTATCTGATCGTATAATGGCGGTTCCGAATGGCTGGGGAGCGGCGGATGTGGAGTCTCCGCCGCCGCTGCGGGAGCCGCTGCTGCAGCAGGATCAACCGCCGCCGCTTTTGCAGCGATCGCGGTCGAATTCGACTTCGCAGGTCGCCGTCGTCGGTTCCAATCTCTGCCCCGTCGAGAGCCTCGATTACGAGTATGCCTTGCGCACTTTTTTCTCTCTCGTGTATATGATTGTAATCTATCCGCGCAATTCTCGTTTTTTTTTTTGAACTCAATTGCTGTGTGTATACGTGCGTGTTGTGTGTGTTTTGATGTGTGTGCGACTGTGTGTGAGAGAGATGCTGTATTTATGAATTGTGATTATGTTTGTGAATTTGAAAATTGGGGAAATAGTTTGTGAATTTTGGCGGAAAAACACGTGAAACGCATAATTGATGTTCACGAGTGGTTTGTTGGAGCCGTTAGTGTACAGTAATTATTCTGCACTGGATGGAAAGTTCTCAACAAACCATGGGATTAATGTTTGAAATTGAATTTTGAAATTGTATTTTAGCAGTATTCAAATACTCCAAAGATATGTGGCAGAAAATAATTTGACCTTATACTAAACGTGTTGATCTTGATCTTCAATTTACAGGATATTTTCGACTTGCGAGTTACTTCAATTCGATTTGTTTTCTCGTTAATCACAACTTGCTATCGATTTTCTTTTTCTGGATTTTCAAATTTTTCGTTGAATCTAATTATAATAAGTGTCTAAAGGAAGCTTAACGTATAATATCTTTCCGTTTTGTCTTGAGTAATTTATTAATCAATTGACGCAATTATGTTATTTTTTGGCTTGAGAATCATCTACCTTTTTTTTTTTTTTTTTCTTTCCGGGTTGCTTGTGCTCTGCTTTCAGTTGTTTGACTCGAAATGAACTGAACTTTTTGCCTGCAGGATTATTGAGAATGATTTTTTCAAGCAAGACTGGAGGGGTAGGGGGAAGACTGAGATATTCCAGTATATATCGATGAAATGGATATTTTGTTTACTTATTGGACTTATTGTGAGTCTCATCGGGTTCTTCAACAATCTTGCCATTGAGAATATATCTGGCATGAAGTTTGTTATCACCTCATATATGATGTTGCATAGAAGGTAAGAAAGTCTGAACTTTTAGATCCACGTGTTTCGTGAAATGTGTTTATCTTATCAAGCGTCAGTTAACTCTTCATAATATATGATTACTGATCGCTGTCTCATTTTTCTTTTTCTTTTTTTTTTGTTTTTTGTTTTTATGCATTATATTGTCTAGACAGTCGTTGGTTGAAATCTACGTGTCTTTTAGTTTTGCTAGGATGATAGCCCGATTTCCTGCAAGTGCTACACTTTTTCACTGCACCCCTTGTCTCGTTGCCCATTTCTGTTGTGGGGGGTGCGTATACTCTTGCATATTGATTCGGTTTTGAAATGTGGGCAGGTTTGGTGTGGCTTTCACTGTATTTGCGGCTTCAAATTTTTCCTTGGCATTGTTAGCGAGTTTGATCACTGCTTTCATAGCACCCGAGGCTGCTGGTTCTGGTATACCAGAGGTTAAGGCTTACCTGAATGGCATTGATGCACCTGCAATATTTTCGTTCCGAACTCTGCTTGTCAAGGTACTTTTTGCATCTCTCTCTCTCTATTTCTCTCTTCAAATTTTCTAAAATTTGAAGTTCTCCCTGTATGCATATGCAGATAGTTGGGAGCATATTAGCTGTGTCCTCATCTCTTCATATTGGAAAAGCAGGGCCGATGGTCCATACTGGTGCCTGCATAGCTGCAATACTGGGCCAGGGTGGCTCAAAGAAGTTTGGTTTGACCTGGAAGTGGTTACGGGTTTTCAAAAATGACCGTGATAGGCGAGATCTTGTGACATGTGGATCTGCTGCAGGGATGGCTGCAGCTTTTCGTGCTCCAGTTGGTGGTGTGCTGTTTGCTTTCGAGGAAATGGCATCCTGGTATTACCTATAATATTAATATTTGGATAATTGTATTCTTATATATAGTTATCTAATCTTTACTTTCTCATCCAGGTGGAGAAGTGCTCTGTTATGGAGATCTTTCTTCACAACTGCTGTTGTTGCCATAGTCCTCCGGGCTCTTATCGATGTCTGTTTGAGAGGTAAATGTGGATTATTCGGCAAAGGGGGTCTGATAATGTACGACGTCACCTCTGCAAATATTTCTTACCACCTCTGGGATGTGCCCCTTGTTATTCTTCTTGCCGTTATAGGGGGCATATTGGGAAGCATTTACAATCTTCTTCTCAATAAAATTCTCCAGATTTACGACATTATTAACAAGTAAGTGCTTCAGTTTTTCACTCTATCTTATAACAATTGGATCAGATTTACAATATTATTAGCAAATGAAGTATTTCTTTATCTTTTGTACCAGGAAAGGGATTGCTTACAAGATACTATTGGCTTGCGTTATTTCACTCTGCACTTCTTGCCTTCTATTCGGACTACCATGGGTTGCATCTTGTCATCAATGCCCAGCCGATACAGCAGAGCCTTGCCCGACAATTGGTCGATCCGGAAACTACAAGAAGTTTCAGTGTCCACCTGGCTACTATAACGATCTGGCAAGCCTCTTCTTTAACACAAACGACGACGCAATCAAGAACCTCTTCAGCAAAAATACAGACACCGAGTTTCACATTTCGTCCATGTTTATATTCTTCGCTTCGTGCTTTTTCCTAAGCAGTTTCAGCTACGGGATTGTGGTTCCTTCGGGTCTTTTTGTGCCAGTCATTTTGACAGGTGCAGCCTATGGGCGTTTATTCGGAATGTACGCAGGGTCCACCTCGACTTTAAACCATGGCCTTTTTGCAGTTCTTGGTTCTGCCTCGCTTCTCGGTGGATCTATGAGGATGACAGTTTCATTGTGCGTGATTATTCTCGAACTAACAGATAACCTGTTACTCCTCCCACTTATAATGCTCGTTCTCCTAATTTCGAAAACCGTGGGCGATGTATTTGACGCGAATATTTACGACCTCATCATGATTTTGAAGGGCTTCCCTTATTTAGAATCTCACGCAGAGCCATACATGAGGCAGTTGACTGTCGGTGATGTTATTACAGGCCCACTTAAAACCTTTCAAGGCATCGAAAAAGTCGGTAATATAGTGCATGTACTCAAAACCACAGGGCATAACGGGTTTCCTGTGGTAGACGAGCCTCCGATATGTTCCTCCCCTGTGCTGTTCGGTTTGATTCTCCGATCGCATCTCGTCACTTTGTTGAAAAAGAAATTGTTCTTGAGAAATCCCGCACCGTTAGGGTTGGACGCGTTTTTACAGCTGACGGCCGATGATTTTGCAAAGAAGGGTTTGGGGCATGATGATCGGATTGAGGATGTGGAATTGTCTGAAGAAGAGATGGAAATGTTTGTCGATTTGCATCCTTTTACTAACAAATCACCGTACACTGTTTTGGAGACAATGTCATTAGCCAAAGCGCTGATACTTTTCCGAGAAGTCGGTTTAAGGCACCTGCTGGTAATTCCAATGGTTTCGGGGGTGAGTTTACAAGGATCAGATTCCGTTGAGTTCGATATTCCTGGTTTTATGGTCATTCTTCCGAACAAACTAATTAAAATTACATTCTTGCCCTTTGCAGGTTCCAGTTTTGGGTATATTGACGAGGCACGATTTCATACCAGAGCACATACTGAAGTTACATCCGAAATTGTATCGAAGCAGATCAAGAAGATTGAGATTTCAACTGCCTAAGTTCAGATAACGACTTGTTTACAGAAATTTACCAAATGAAAAGCACGTCGACTATTCTTTTTCTCATGATACGTCAATGTGACAGGTGTATACATAAATTTATTCTTAAATATTTCACATTTAAAAATCCAATGGTGGCGGTTCGTGGAAACCTTCAGCAGTCGATACCGTGCTGACGAAAAATCGGAGGCTGAGCGACTTTATTTATTTCAATCCCACATTGTTTCACTTGCTTTGCTTTAGTTTACTGTTAGCTTAGAAGGGCCTTTTCTTTTTTTGTTTTGATAAATAACTTGAACGGCTTCATAAAGACTCGTATATACACACTCATCGTTAACTTACGTCGTTTTTGTGGCATCTGTTTATTGGTAACCCCATGGCAGATTTATTCATATAATTAAACATTCACACACACACACACACACACAGTCAGTTAACCACCAAAAAAAAAAACTATGAACAAGTCAATGCTAAGATTTTCTTCAGAACTGCAATTGATATTCATCAACCTAAAATGATGATACAACAAACTCTGTAAGAATGACAATTGAGATGAACAAAACAATCGACACAAAATCATGTTTCTAATTTCACCCTTTCCTTTCACTTTTCAAGTAGTCCATTCTAATCCCCCACAACTGTTCGCCAACGGCTTTCATATCGGGCCGATCGACTCGTGTAGGCGCAGCACATTGTATCGCCAAACTAAACATCTTCACCAAAATCTCCTCTTCTATCGTCTCGTTCATTAGTGGGTCCACCATCTCCGAATATCTCCGTTCATTGTATTTCCTAAACGCCTGCATAAATCGTATTTTTCCAAATCCAAAAGGGTCTTTAGGTAAATTACTACAAGAAAAATATATATATATATATTTGAACTTACCCATTTAATAATCACCCTCTCATCATGTGGTCTCTTCAACTCAACGGGCCTACGGCCCGTTAAAATTTCAAGCAACAATATTCCGAAAGAGTAAACATCGCTCTTTGTAGTGAGTTGAAATGTTCTCATGTACTCTGGATCGAGATAACCAACCGTGCCTTTTACTTTGGTGGATACGTGCGTTTTACCAGCATCGTCACCAAACCTAGCGAAACCGAAATCCGCAACTTTTGCTCTAAAGCTCTCGGTTAATAGAATATTCGAGGACTTTACATCTCTGTGGATAATTTGCTTCTCTGTAGAAAAAATAGTCTTGATTTAAAGAAGATATTAATCAACAAAAAGATACAATAATGCCGTAATATACCACCATTAAGGGTGGAAATTGGAACGAAATTTTCCAATTTTGGAATTCATTCCGATTTTTTTAATTGAAATTGGAATGTACATGAGATTCCGAATTCCGATCCGATTTTAATGCACAAAACAAAAATACGTGTTTTGCATTTTAGGTTACTAAAAATGGAATCTTCAGAATTCTGCCGATTTTGATCCTAAAATTTCTGATTTCGGAACGAGTTTTTTCATTCCGATTTCCGATTTTCTTTGGAACGGAATTGGAATTTGCACTTCCGGAGAGAAAAAAAAAATCATAATTTTTCTGGAAGTTCTAATTTCGATCCAATCCATGAAAGAAACTTATAGTTCGATCTAGTTTAAATATTTTGTAATGCACATTATTGCTGAGCTTGGTATTGCTCCAATATTTAGGTAAAACGATTAGAGAAACAATCAATTGTGTTTAAACAACGAGTTGTTACCAGAATATAGATGGAGATACGTTAATCCATGAGCGACATCGATGGAAATTTCGAGACGCTGATTGAAATCCAATATCTTTCCCTTGATACCTACCAAGGACATCAGTTTAGTCGTGTATACACACACACACACACACACACATGAGAGAGAGAGAGAGAGAGATTGGTAATATTTGCCGGAGTTTAAGACAAGGTTTTACCATCTAGGTGGTCTCTAAGGGTACCGTTGGGTACATACTCTGTGATAATGAGGCGTTCGTTTCCTTTTTCAACATAGCCAAGAAGCTTGACCAGATTCCGGTGATCGATTTTCGACAGAAGTTCAACTTCACTTCTGAATTCAGTCCTCATTGCGTCAAAATGCTCCTGCTGTTTTTTTTTTTTCCGGGAACAATTTTTTTTTTAAATTTACCAACAAATAATATACAAATAAAAACAACCCAACTATTCACTCTCCCTCGGCATCGACAATTTCAAGAAAATCCTCTCGAAAGTTACTTCTGTGATGAGTTTCTTGAAATTTCAAGAAATTCCACACAAAAAAAAAGAATCTTTTGCAGTGCAAAATACCTTTCTTGCTCGTTTGATAGCAACGACCTGTCCATCTGGCAGTTCAGCCTTGTAGACATTTCCGAAGCCGCCTTCACCAATCAATAACGATGGAGAGAAATTATGCGTAGCTCTTGTAACTTGGCCCATATTCAGATGAACTGAACCGAGTCTGTTTAGTTTCGGTGACATGGAAAAACGTGACGGGCTTGGCGGCACTCTAAGCGGGCTTGCCGGAGCTCTCATTGGACTGCCGGGCAATTTTTCGAACACGGTGTTCATTTCTAAAGACGAAACTGAATCCACTGCACGAAATAGTAAAAAAATCTATTTTATTTACTTCCTTTCAATTTAAGTATACAATTTAAACGATTGCACTCACTTGAATTCGGCTCCTTGAATAACATGTCATGGCTAGAATCTTTTTTCCTCGCTTGGAAACACGGACAAAGTAATGCACAACATAAAAGGAAGAAACCAGGTACTGCGATGGCTAACATTTTCGGTTTTAATATATAATTATCGTATTTATCTTTCCCATTTGAAGATGTTTTATCATCGTCGACTCGACTATGTTCTTCTCTAACCACATCTTTTAGTGATTTTCTTCCTGCAATATACAAGAATTGTTAACTACTTCACAAAATAAACACGAACGGAATGAATTACAGCTTGATCATTTATTCGTACCTAATTGTTTGCAGTACTGAAACCTGACATTTTCAGGGAAGCAATCCTTGTCACGGTAATTTCTCAAAGACTTACAAAAGATATTTACATCGACCGTTTTCCCGTCTATGTAAAACAATTCGTGACTAAAATCACCGACGTGGCTGATTTGGTATGTCCCACACGAAATTTCGTTGTTCAATAGCTCGAAAGTGGATATTTTTGATAATTGCAAAAGAAGAACAAGAATTAACGAAAACAGCGCCATTTCTCAACTACGAAGCTCTCACAACAAGGCAAGTCAAAGACGAGTAGCAAGCGAATTCAATGCCCATTCGAGGTTCACAAATTACTCCGATTAACCTATCAAACTCTTCACTACCTGATTTTAAAAAAAAAAGTGTTAAATAAACTAATAATCCCTCGAATTTTTTTATTATCGAATTGCAAATCCCTCGAATTTTTTCGTTTACTAAGATACAAGTCTGACTGATCAAGAACTTATGAGAATACCATAATCCAAGCAGTTATTAAATTCGAAATAATTTCGAATCACGGAATAAGAACCTCGAATTCAATCAGGATAACACAAACACACACTAAAATTACCTGATATTAACTCCCAAATCCCCAATTCTATTTTCTTAATTCAAGATTCCAGCACAAAATCAAGATAAGATCACAGCACAATCCCTCCAAAACATCAGAAATCCAAATCAATAAAAAAAAAAAAAAAAAAAAGCCCAAATCTTTTTTTCTTACCAAAATCACCAAACATTCATCTGAATCGAGCCCAAATTATAAAAAATCTGCTAAACCACAAGAAAGACAGCAACTTTCAGACAAAGTAAAACACACAAATGATTTGTCTACAAGCGAGGGTTGCAGTAAATACAAGTCAAACATTTATTGAAAGTCAGACAATCAAAACAACCTGATATATAAGGCGGCTGCTGCTGCTGCTGCTGACAGAGAATCACTATCGATTAGGAAAGTTGTATGTATAATATGTATCTATATATATACATACAACACTACATGATTATCGCAATTCGCAATAGCGTCAGAGAATAATCAAAAAGGGGGTTTAGATAGAGCGGCAGAAGGTGGGAAGGATCGTAGAAAAATGGTGGGCTCCACTGTGTGTGTGTGTGTGTGTGTTGTGCGCGCACACATTTTTGCAATTGTTTTTGTTGGGTCCTGTGTGTTTGGTATGCAGTACAGTACGACGTCGTATTATAATATTGAAAGATAGTTTTGGGGTTAGCCATTGGAGAAGTTCGTCGAGCTTTCTTGGTCAACGAAAAAAGTCTTTGTTTATATAGTTTAATTATTTAAATGAGTTTTTTTGTGTTCGTTTGAAGCTAATAATCAAGAACTTGTACATGTGTTGAATACTATTCCTAAGTTAATAATATCTTGTATAATTTTAATTTAATAATTATATATTCTTCATTTTTCTCTATTTAACAATTTATTTTTATTTTCTAAGTTTTTTTTTTCTAGAGAGGTTGATACTTCTATTTTACACGAAATCTTTAATATATTTATATAAAATAATAGAAATTTGAAAAATGTACGATTTGGGGTTATGGCCCTATTCTATACTAACTCTATCACTGTCACTCTTTTGTGATAGTTTGGTTAGACAACTTCTAAATTGGTTGTGGGCGGGAATTTTTTATTGAAACAAAAAATAAAATTGAATCGAAACTTTATTCCAATCGAATAGAACATATATTTGATGAAATTTATTGATATAGGAGAGAAAAATACATTGATTGAAGTTGATTATGACTATTGAATTAAAATTTATGAGAGTAATTTTCAGAGAGTTGTGACTCCCTATGTACTGACCAATTAGGTAGTATGTTTTTCACAATATTTCAAGAAGTCGAATTCTTTTGATCGTTCGAGTTCGCCGTGGATCGGATTTTAGTGCAGTTATTCGATATCCGATTTTGCACCTTCGGCAACCCAAAAATATTGTCATAAAGGGATTGTTTCGGCAAGCCTCGATCGCTATTTTGTATTTTCACGCACGATTTCATAATTTTTCCACAATCCCTCTACACAAATTGAAATAATTTACACCAACATTTAGACTAAATAAAAGCCCATTTTTTTAGAAAGCCCAAATAAGTGGGCTAGTATGGCACAATACATTAAGCTTTTATTTTCCGATGAGCTGGATCTCGAGTGTAAAGTTGTCTTAAATTCTATTGTCTCGTCAATTTATATTTGTTGTATAAGAACTTCCTATTAAAAAAATTTAGGGTTAAATACAAAAACACCCCTGTACTATGGACTTTGTATCATATACCCCCATGTACTACTCATAAATACAAAAACCCCCCTCACATTACATTTTTTTCAAAATATGACGAATATATATATATATATAGTTTGAGCCATTTTCCACTATATATTTTATTTACGTGGAAAATTTTGGTACTTATATTTTTTTTCTCCAAAATATCTAACTCTTAGATTTTTTTAATTTTCTCAATAAAACCTTCTATTTTTGTTATTTTTAGTTTCTTCATTTTTTTTTCTTAAATTTCTTCCGGTAGTTCAAACATCCTAAGAGTACAAACATATCTTTACAATCATATTATTGTTGAGAATTTGAACTACCAGAAGACATTAAAGAAAAAAAAAAAAGAAATTCAAAATGCCAAAAATAAAAGGTTTTGTTCAGAAAAAAAAAATATAAGTAATAAATGTTTTGAAGAAAAAAAATAAAAACATCAAAAATTTCCAAGTAAAATTGATCAAAAATGTCAAAAAATATAATAGAAAATGGATCAAACAAACCCTATATCTATAGGCTTAGTAGGGGTATTTTCGTCAGATTTTGGATAAAATATAACAGCAGGGGGGTTTTTGTATTTATGTTTAGTACAGGGAGGTAAATGATACAAAGTCCATAGTATAGTGGTGTTTTTGTATTTAACCCAAAAATTTATAACAAATTGATTGTTGATGAGTCAGCATCACTAGAATAAGACAAAACAGTATTGACATTATATCAACATATGTTCAATTATTAGTTTGTAACTAACATCTCCCAACTGTCGTACCACAATAGCATCATTCATTCATTAGACCCTCAATTAATAATCTAGCGGTTGGAGCAAGTGAACTTGTGTCAATTGATTCAAGTTCGATTTTTTTTTTTATCAACGGTCGTTAGGTTGAGTTTATCACATATGATTACTCTAGTGTGGTTTACGTCCCTCTTATGAAGTAAAAGTTATTATACGAGAGTCTGAATTTATCCGGTACAACTAAATAATTTTATTTGTTAATCCCATTTAGCATCCAATGATATATTTGATTATATATGTACTAATAAATCATATACTATACTACATTACTACTAGTTAATAGGATAAGTAGCTTTGAGCAACATAGTAAATTATTAGGTTTTCTTAAATGATCTAACAAATTCGAAATAGTTAAGCATAACGATGAGTTGCCTACATAAAATTTTGTGCAAATTACGAAAACCTCTTACGTTTCTGTAATTACAACCACTTTCAATTTTACGGTATCAAATTTACCTACTGAACAAAGAGTTTTTTATAAGACAATACATAGTTAATGGTGTGATTATAATTATCCAAACATAAATGTTTTTTTCGTAATTTGAATTTATCTTAGAAGTACAACTGCGATCTGCCCTAAAATTTTAATAGGGAGAAAACTAATTAGTCGAATTAAACATTTGATTATCATGTGTAATGACACTCATTGGAAAAGCCTTCAAGAATTTCTCAATAGCAATTGTCCCAAAAGCAATAACATTAGAAATTATGTCAACACAACATCTAAACTCACTCAAAATTGTCCCAAAAGCAATAACATTATTAAAAAGCATTTCAAGACAAAATTAATATTTACATACATTCTTGTGTAATGAAATTTTGTGTTTGTCAATTATTACCACTTTAATTTAAATCAAGTCTTGCACGTGACACTTAACTTATGAAAATGGAAGTCCCATTTTTGTGTAAGTATGGTTGAAGTAGCAAAATGAGGATTATATTCATTAGAGTATTGCTCTCGAATTTTTTTGTCTAGACGTATGTACAAGAAGTAGTAAAAAATAAATAAATATAAATTTTAATTAAAAATAAAATAAAGTAAAATATAAATGACAATTAAAATCTCCTAAGATTTGGTGTCCTAATTTATCGGTAGCAATTAGGACATCAAATTTTACTTATTCCAACTGTCTATAACTAACGTTTACGAAATTTGCAATTAAAGTATTACCAAATGTGACAACATATGAAATCTTGTATCAAGTCCAAATCAATTAGACGGCAATTTATTTATTTTATTGATTTTTTTATAATCAAGTATCACTAATGCATACCACGTATTTATCAAATACATGTCACGTTGTTTGGTGCAGTAAATATATATAAATACACCCAATACTCTACATTTGTTAATTCAATTAATTTCCCTCACAATTATTACTTTGATTTACTTTTTTTTTTTTTTTTTTTTGATAATTATTACCTTGATTTACTTCGATTACAACTAGAAACTATTAAAATGGATAAATTACGGCCACATCCTTTGAAGTAAGGCTTAATTACAAAGAACACACCTCATGTTTGGATAATTATAACTAGTCCCTTAACTATAAATTTTCTTACACGTCCATCTTTATAGTGTCAAATTCAACATAATCTTCTACATTATGTGGAATGCTCTCTAGTTTGTACTCGTTTTATGCAAAAACGCGGTTTCTAATGCACCACAATCTGATACTCACAAGCCAAGAGACACATCTTATAATTCAAAATGTGGAGCTCGAATGGGCTAAAATGAGTACAAATTAGAGAATATTCCACATAATCTTGAAAAGTCCACTAAATCTAACACCGCAAGGGCAGACCTGTAAGAAAATTCATAGTTGAGGGGCTGGTTGTAATTATCCAAACATGAGAGATTTTTTCGTAATCTAACATTACCTCATAAAGTGACCGTAATTTACCCATGCAATAGTGTAAGCACTCCTCGTTTTTTTCTCGTGCAATAATTTTTATGTGCGACAAGTTTGACCTAAAAACATATTCGACTTGTAATAATATTAGATATTCCAATATAAAAAAAAAATAATAAATAAATAAATCATAAATGAAGGAAGCACAGAAGTTATTGATAACCTAACCAAATGTGTGTGAACCTAACTCTGTAAGACAGTCAATCCAAGCAAGGCAAGCAATTGTTCATCACATTTTTTTCCTTTTAATTTTGTTGGTTGGCAGTTGCCCCCCACCCCCACCCCCATTACCATCTTCCTCTACTTATTGCCCCCCTACCCCCACCCCCCCTATACCCCCACCCCCCATACCCACATTTTCTTCCATTAAAGGGTTTTCCATTTTCTTGATAAAAATTCAAGAATCTGTGCATGAAAAATCAAGAAGAAGAAGAAAAAAAAATATACACTATGATGAAGAATAGTAAAAGGGAGGGGTCTGTTTGGAAGAGAAAATTAAAAGCAGGGGTATATAAGGAAAAAGATCAAAAGAGCAGAGAAAAGGGGGAGATGATGATGAAGAAGAAGAAGAAGAAATACTACTATCCACTGTTATCCTATCACCAACTCCCGGATTATATGAAGGATAATGAGTATATACTGGATTATTACAGGGCTAATTGGCCTGTCAAACAAGCCTTCTTCAGCCTCTTTAGCTGGCATAATGAGACTCTTAATGTTTGGACGTAATTACCCTTTTTTTTTTTACTTAATTATTTCTGTTTTTATTTAATGTTTTTTTATTTTTATTTTTTTTTTAATTAATTATTTATTTTGCAGGCATTTGTTGGGATTTTTGTTATTTGTGGGATTAACAGTAGCAAATGTAGTGGACGTGCCTCAGGTAGCAGATTTCATCACAATGATTACAGAGTAAGTTTCATTTTTTTTTTTGATTTTTTTTTAATTTAATAAATTTAATTAATTTAATTAATTCTAGATGTAAAAGGGAATTTATATATAAAGATCCAATCTTTTATTATTATTATTACTTTTTTTTTTTGTTTTTGTTTTTTGTTTGTTTTTCGAAATTGCTATGGTTTTAAGTTTTAGATCCCCCAATTAAAGCAATCGGCATCCGAATATGATTTGTGTGGGTGTAAATAAATCGACATTGTTGTTCAATCTTTTGAATTTTTTCATCGAGCTTTCGAATTTAATGTTTGATAAGCAATCGAGCCGAACTCGAACGCGTAACTGCTTAAGTAACTTGATATTTTTAGCACATTTTTAATCGCTCTCATTGCGCATCGAACAAAAATATGTGTTCAAACTTTTGACACGTTGTGTTAAGAAGCGAGCTCTCGAAAACTTTTGACACTTTGATTTAATTTGATTTCGAGTCCAACTCACTTAATTTGATTCTTCAGACAGTTCCCATCAAGTGCAACCGCTAATTTCTCCAACGATTTTTCTCCGGTGAGCACATACAATATATATCCATACTTCACTTTGTCTCGTTCGTATCGACAAGTAGACGAAAAATTAATTAATTTTTTTTTAAATTTCGACAGGGCCCGACAAAACTGCTAGACCTGAAGCAAGAATCGAGCCACATGAAAATGGATGTAACAACCGAAACAACCACAACGAACTGGCCGTTTTACGTATTCCTTAGCGGCTCGATGTTCTGCCTCCTCTCGAGCAGCACCTGCCACCTCTTCTCCTGCCACTCCCACCGCCTCAACTGCCACCTCCTCCACGTCGACTACGTCGGGATCACGATCATGATAATCACCTCCTTCTTCCCACCGATATACTACATCTTCCAATGCACCCCACTCTACCAAATCCTGTACCTCACAGGCATCTCACTACTCGGTTTATGCACCGTTGTCGCCTTGCTGTCGCCAGCTCTCACGAACCCCAAGTACCGCTCTTTACGGGCCCTACTCTTCGTCTCCATGGGCTTGTTCGGGCTTTTTCCGGCGGGCCACGCCCTTTTGCTGAACTGGCACGACCCTCACCGGAATGTGATCTTGGCGTACGAATTGGCGATGGCGCTTTCGTATTTAATTGGAACTTTGTTTTACGTGAGCCGGGCCCCCGAGAGGTGGAGGCCCGGTTGGTTCGACTTGGCGGGCCATAGTCATCAGATTTTTCATGTGTTTGTGGTGATGGGCGCGTTGGCTCACTACGGCGCGGCGCAAATTTTCGTGAGGCACCACAGTAGGATGGGGTGTGGTGCAGTTTCTTGATTTTGTGTTTGCTTGTGATATTATGTGTTAATGAAGGGGCTAAAAATATAAATTAAAAAAAAAATTGTGTTGATTGTGTTATTAGATGGAATAGGAACATTCTTTATTTATTTTTTATTTTTTATTTTTATATTTTGTTGTGATGTGATTCTGTAATAAGATTGTTACATGATACATTTGACACAATTTAGAATTGTTCTGCAGAGGAAATATATGAAGCATATATGTAATGTTTAGTAATTAGTTGGTTGTCTTTTGTTTTCACAATGTTTCGATTGCTTCCAACATATATAAAGTAAATATATTTTGAAGGTTCGATTTCTTGTTCGTAACAAATTGTATAGTAGTTGAAAATTAGTTTTATCCCAAATTTAAACTCTAACATTACACTAAAAATTGTTCTTTCGTTGTCGGAGTTGTACAGTGAAGTATTGTAATTCGACAAATTTGCACGATTTCGAGTATTTGTACAGTAGAGTAATGTGATTCGACAATTTAGTTTATTGTTAGAGATATATATATTACTCAACCATTCTATGTTTAATTTAATTTGACATCCAAAGTATATTGTCGTGACTCTCTAATATATGAAACTAGCCAAAAGAAATTTACGACCAAAAACTCCGTTGATTTTATTAAAAGAAGGGTAAATTATGGCCACCCCTGAGGTATGGTCAAATTACAAAAAAATCCCTCTTGTTCGGGTAATTACAACCACCCTTCATTTTAAATATTTTTACATAAAATTTATGTAATTCGGTTATTTACCGAACCAAATCGTATATTCAGTTTGGTAAATTGTATGAAATGTTGGCATACAAAAAATTTCGCTTCGGTTTTACCGATTTAACATCCCTTAATTTACATCTAGAGGGGTTTTTTCATAAGATAATACATAGTTGAGGGGGGTGACTTTAATTACTCAAACATGAGTGGTTTTTTTGTGATTTGATCATAACTCATAGGTGACCGTAATTTGCCATTAAAAGAAAAACAAGATTCCAAACAAAATATTTGGAAAAAAAAGAGGGACCAATTTTAGAATAAAAGCAAAACAAAGGGACAAGGGTGAAACAAAAATTCGATGCAACAAATACGGACTCTTTATACCCGGATCCGACCCGACCCGACCCGTATGTTTGCCCTACCAATTACGGAACGCAAAATCTACGAACAGATTCCCTCTTTGCTTAACTGCGCGTCACAATGACTGATGCAAAACCTCACTGTCAATAACGAAAACTCTGCAATTTTCTTCACACACAATCAATAGAGGGAAGCTTGATTATGGCGGACAAGAGTGCAGTTGAGAGGGGGAAGGATGTGAAAGTACCGATAAGCCCTTCAATCCCTTCCGGCAACGACACCGCTTGGGTTGACGTTTCGTCTATCCTCCGGCGAGCCTCCGACGGTTCGTTTCTTTCTAATCTCACTCTAATTCCAATCATTAACTGTTGGTTTCGGGATGAATTTATCAATTTTTATAGATTTTGAATTGAGACTTTGTATTTGTATAGATGGAGAATGTTGTGAAGTACTTGAATTTTATTTAGGAATTTTCATGTTAGTCTTATGAATAAGTCTCCTCAAGATTGGCTTTTTACCTGAATAAGTATCATTGATCTTAACTGCTTCTGTTTAAGTGCTGTGAATGTAGTACACTGCACACTCCCATGAACTTAATGTAATTTTGACTAGCTGAGAATCCTCTACTTTCATGGCGTCCACTACATATAACTCATATTTGCCGACGAGTTATTTTCGGTTTAACCAATGCAACATACATTTGCAAATCGCCTATACGATTTAGCTCGTCTTATATGTGCTTCAGTAAATTTTTATATGCATAAAGGAACCAAGATAGATTTCGGTTTTGATCCTGCATGGAGTTTACCGTTTAGATACAAAGTCAACATCTAATAAAACCTGATGCATCTTTGTAACTAAATGGCATGCTACTGTGGTTAATCCCTCTTGTATACACCTATATTGGTACACTATGACTGCCAGTTCAAATTCTTAATGCTTCTTAGAATATTAAGGACATTTGTGGAAATGAAACACGTGTTTGGTTTTAATTTAAGACATGGGATAATGTTTGTCCATAGAATTTCTTTTTGATTGTTAGAGATCGTGGCTTAGGCTTATCCAATTTTAATGTTTGTCTTGGAAATGGCCGGTGCTGTTTGCCACCCACTCTAGACTTGCATTGCAGTTCTCCTTGCTTTAGTTTTCTCGTAACTGCTGTTTTTTCTCAAATATATAAAAACTGTTAAATGATTCTTCCAATTTAACTTGGCTGCAGATATTCAAAGTGATGAGCTCATAAATGGAGAGAATTTTAATCTTTTTGCCGCCATGTCTGCTTTAGAGGTAATGTGCTTCTTTTCCGTCAGAGTGAGATTCTGCAAACAAAGATATGAAGTATATTGCTAATATGATAAGGTGAAGAGTAATTAGAAGACACATAATTGAGAAAAGGAAGGCATGTTCGAATAGTTGTAAATTAGGTGCTTATTTTCTGGGCTTGTGGGTATCCCCACAACAAGCAAGAACGGCAAAAATGGCCTTTTTACTAGAAGTTACTATAGTTAAGAAAACAGAAGTATTTTAAGCACGAGGCATGTGAATATTTTGAACTCTCCCCTATCAATCATAGTCAGGAAGTGTGTGTGCTTTCCCGACTGTTTTACATTTCTTGAGTATCTTGGTCTTCTTTTAGATACTTGATGAACTGTTGAAGTTATATTTTTCTGCATTTTATTATGTATGTATATTTTAGTGATGATATTTATCTATCTTAACTAGATAATGGACCCAAAGATGGATTCAGGTATTGTTTCTACATATTATTCTGTTGATGAAGCCATTGACAATGGTGCTGCTCCTATTCCATTGAGCTTTGATAGAACAACCGATACTCAATGTGTCATTGATATAATGGACCATCTTCTCTCTTGTGAGGTACTGCTAATTAAACATTAGGAACCCGTTCTAAATACTGTTCCATGAGTGGTGAAGGAAAGCCCTTGTTAATATGTTCATTTCTTTTAATGCAGGCAACATGGCATAAAGGAGGGTCATTAGCTCAAACTGTTTTCTCATGCATCTATCTTTTGAGGCCTGAGAGAACATCATCTCATGCGCTCCTGCATTCTTTCTGCAGAGTTGTACGGACAACTTGCAATGCTGTTGTTTCAACTGTTTCAGATGTCCGCACAAATGAAGTAAAGTACTTATACGAATCTTACCTTTTTTTTTTTTTCCCTCCTTGAGACAGAGTTCTGTCAAGAGTATCACAATCTTTGTTTTTTAAGATGCTATTACGGACTAGTCTTTCAATAGATGATTGTAAGAAAAGTTCTTCAATGAAAAATTAGTTCTTGCTTCATATATCTCGGATGAATGTGCTATCAAGTAAAGTACTTGGATGAAACTTTATTTTTGTCATGAATAATAGAATTGTCAACAAAGTATAGACTCTATCACTTCTGAGGATGCTTTTGAAGAAAATAATTTTGATGAAGCTCTAGCTTATGTGCAAATTGAATAAAGTACTTTAAAACGAATCTTTAATTGTTTCGTTCTGAAAGATAAGTGTTGTGCTGTCAGTGTCATAATCCTATCATCGCTTATGCGAACACAATTAATAGAAGTGGGATCAGTAGGAGAGGCACCGAATCACATAGTTCTTTCTGAAGTGATCGTGCAACTTTTTCATTAGTTCTCTTATGCATGTAGCTCTCTTTTTCATCCTGCACCTTGCTCGCATATCTTGTGAACTTTGATGCACTGTATACTAGAACTCTTGGTTGTATCATATGTTTGCTTTTCTCCATCTTAAGTATTTTAAATTTCCTACCTATATGCTGTCAGTTATTTCCATTAATATATGTATGGTTGCACAGGAAGAAGATCTTTTTGTTATGGCTTATGGTCTGCAACTGAAGGCTGATGGAGATGAAAAATGCTTATCGATGCTAAATGCAGTGGAAGAAACACTTGCTCGACAATTAAAGGCTTGCAAAGCTCTATCGTCTAAAAGGAGAGTTCTAGAAGGTACATATCTAGGATTCATGCGTCTCTATTGGAGTTCAAGTGTGTCTAGATAAAGAAGTTTTTATGTTGGTCTCTTTGATGCCATGACAAATTATAAATTGTGAAGCATAATTACTTTTCAGCATGAAATGGAAAAAAGCTCCTCAAACCTTTTTATGTTTCTATTAGCTAGCTAAGGAAGGTCCTTTCTTGATTTATCACCAGTCTTCTGGAGGCATTAAATACTTTGTAAATTTATTTTGGCCCTTGTCTCATAAGTAAATAACTTCCCCAGTCCACTATAAAGGATAAGATGCTCATTAAGCTCAAGACATCTAGTTTTCTTCAATGCTGTAATCGGAACATGCTTATATAATGAAATTTTCCTATACACTGTCATAACCAAGTGAGTCTACATGGCACTTTCAATGATTGAAATGCTTGGCATCTTTAGGTAGGATAGGACTTCTTTATACTTGGAATCAGATGAATTTAAAATCATTTTGGTATGGATTAGTACTGAGAATGGTAGCAAAGTTAAGTGCTAGTGCCTTTGCTCGAGAAGGCTTTTCATCTATTTACTAATAATTTTTGTTATGGTTCACATGTATGAATTTGTAATCTGCGATGATTATTATGACATGCTACTTACGTAACACCTCTTGTACCTTTGTTTTCACTCTCAAAGAAGCTTAGATCTCAATTCAAGGTTATTGCCTTTTGCTCAGATATAGAGCCATTGCAAGGTAATCTCGATTTTGAAGAAGGGTTTTGCAGAGCTGTTTTGTGCCGCTTACGCTTCCGTAAGGTCTTATCTTGTATTCTTTGAACTTCTGTCTTTCATACATTTGAAAGATATTCTACTATTAAATGATCACTTGTTTTCCGTATGTGCTGTTGCCCTTGAAAAGATTAATGGCTACAGCAGTATGATAAAAGATGACAAATTGTGGTAAAAGATGTTATTAAATCATTTGGTTCCTTTAGTTGCTGGTTTCACTGCGAATATAATTTAGTCAATGGAATTGTTTCTATATTTTTTCAGAGACTTTGAGTAATAAACAGTGTCCTAAAATCTGGAATAAGTATAGTAAGACAAACTTCTGCTACATATTTTTGGAAAATGTTCCTCATTCCATTTTTTATATGGTCTTTTATGGTTATCATCTTTCCTCCAATAATATTTGGGAAATGTTTATGTGTGCTCAGCACTTTTACCATGTGCTAACATGTATGAGGAGACCTCAAGGCAAAGGCTTGGAGGTTGCTAAGAAGCATATCCTTTCCTGCCTATCGGAGCTGGATTCCATGCTGAAATCAGAAGAATTTCTGAGGCACACCTATGCATGTGGAATTTCAGAGGATGGGCTAGAAGATAAAACAACTGCCTCCGGTCGTCAACCAATTGGATTCGATTCTACGTTAAACAGTAGGTCAGCAGCCCCAACTCCACCACGTGCTATTAAACTACTCAGTTGGAAAAGGGTTAGTATCAAGGAATTAATGGCCGAAATTTTAATCATACATATTCTGAAGCTTTAAATCATTTTTTAACTTTCTTGTACCAGGCTGTTAATTATTTCCAGAAGCTTCTCCATGATCTAGAAATTATATGTTCCAACTCTTTGGATCCTGTATTTGAAAGTGCCTTGCGCTTTGTGGTTGATTTTCAGAAGTTCGAACCAGATTTGGTTGCTAGAGCTCATATCCAGGTTCAGTTCTGGATCTTAAATTCTTGTCTGAGTTCAATTTGATTCTTTCTGTAATGGATTCTCATGCGGATAACTAATGGACAGCATCTGCTGGTACAAGATGGGAAGCTCTATGGATGTGAACCTATTTTTTCTGTTATCTGCAAGGCTGCCCTATTACCTGAAGGGGCAAAGAATCATGAACTTCAGAAGAATGAAACTGTTGTGCAACTAGGGCAGGTGAGTGCCAGATATCTTTCTGATACTAAAGTGGTTCCTTTATGTTAAAAACATTAGCATAACCTCAGTCATTACTATTTTTAAGAATTTATTTGTATTATAACATATACATACGGTGATTGAAATTCATTTGTTGGCTTGCAACTTCTAGTATTTGGTAATCAGATTTCTCAACTTGTTATTTTTTCACTCTACATTGCTTAGAAACTGATTATTATAAAACCATGTGTTGTGGTATGCAGTTAGTAATCAATTTGCTTAGAGTTCTCTGTACTAACACTGCATGGCAAAGGCGTAAGCTTGGGAAGATCTTACAGGATTGGCGAATAATATACGTACAGGTTTGTCAAAGTTCTTGCTCAATTAAATTATACATTTGCAACGACTGGTTTGCATGATCAAGCTGTTTGGTGATAGTGTCATTGCTTTCCATACTTGCCAATTTAATTATTTTGCCAAAAAGTAATTATAAAATGACAAAATGACCCTGCTTTTGGTGGATTTGATAGACAAGTTTTGGAATGATGATTTGATTTCTCTTTTCTGACTGTTCGCGGGGACTGATTAATGGATGTATTGAATGCTTTTCTCTTCACAGCTTGAGTTGGCTTTTAGGAAGGAGTTTGGGGAAATCACAAGCACTTCAACTGATCAGGTATATGTTTAGCTTGTCAAATCTCATTTTCACCTGTCATTATTCAGTCATTTATTTAGCACCATTAATCCAGATATGTGTAATCTGTACGATATTGGTGAATGAATTGCATGGTGTGTTACCATGGGCCAACTTTTGAGGGTGTACAAATTACAAAATTTGTAGCTGAGATACATGATATCCATTGCTTTAGATTGTCATCTGCTCTCTGTTATTTGATGTGCTTCAGTGTGCCAGGTTTACAAATGATGCTAGTTTAGGGGATTAAAGAAGAGATGCATGATAGGAACTTTCCCACTTGAGGACGAGATTGCTGATTATTCCTCTTTGATGAATAATGTTATTGTGTTCCGTATAGAAAGAAAAATTGAAGCTGGAACTTGTTTTCCTTGTGTTTTTTTTACTAGGTGCAATATTCTTTTCTAATATCGTTTCCTCTTCCTGCGATGATTATGTGTGGTTCAATTTTGCTATTCCATCAATGTAATGTTACTTAGACCTGTTACAACCTGACTACGGAGTAAGACCTGTTAAGGTTGTATGGTGCTGTACTGCTTTTATCCATACCAGTCTGTGGTTATTTCTTGTATTAACTTTAGTAACTAACATATTTAATGTCCATGTGCATTTTTCATCCTGATAATATTTTAATTCCTGCAGAATATGTGTTTAAAGATCTGCAAACACATCCTCATTTGGGTAGAGGAGCAAACATATTCAGTAGCTTTACGTTTCCTCGTACTGGGCTTTGAATTAGAGCTATATGCTACCAGTGAATACTGCATGGTGTATTGGTACATATATGTAATCCTGATCAAACTCACTGAGAAAACTCATCTCAGAATGATGCTGAGCAATGAATCTAGTGAGTATCTATTAATTCTCTCTTCTTTCATATCACAATAAGGTTTCGATTATATCAAGGAAAACAACGAGTAATATAGTGAAAATGGTAGGTAAAACATATTCTTTGTTTGGTTGCGGGAAATGCTGTGTCTGAGAACTAAATTACTTTACCTAGCATGTTATCTCCAACCTGAAATATTTACCTAGAATTTTCACTAATTTACTCTTTGTTTTCCTTGATCCAGTAATATAGTAGCCTAACCGATTTGCAAGGCATATGCAATTTTTATCACGTGCTAATTGCATCTTTACATTTGTGATTTTTCTTGCTTATGAAGTTCAACCTTGTGCTTCTTAGCAGGAAGACGGAAATCGAAAAAGAAGAGAGATATCGTGAACGATATGGGAAAGGACTACCAAATTCCACCTACGGTTTTGTTACTTCAGTGCTATATCTATGTTGCAGAAGGTCTTATGATGGTAATTATCCTCCGTTAATAAACCACTGATTCTTTTCTCAACCTGAAACATATCATCATCTGTTTGTTTGATGCCTCATGGTTTTTTTTTTTTTTCTTAAATCGGCCTTGTATATATCCTACAACCGTACCCTAAGGGAATTGATCCCTTGACCTAGTACTACCCTTCCCCACCCCAATACCTGGTTTGTATGCTAAGAGTTGAGAAAGGGGTTAGTCGTTAGAGATTAGATTGGATATGCATAAGTTCGATTTATAATTACTTAATTAGGTCACATCTCAGATGCTCTGCATAAAAACTATAAACAATACTCAATTTCAATTTTTTCTGTTTTGACTCTTTACGGGATTATCATATTTTACCCCTATTGATTCTAAGATGAGCATACATGGCAATCCTTCAGTCTTACATATTAGGGACATCTATTTGTTCCCGCTAGTCTACTTTAAACGACATATCCTTTTTAACTTTTATAATTACAGATGCTTGCTTCTTTAAGGAATGAAAACAAACTATTCCTATGCGTGGGTCCCTTCAACACTGAGCAGGAGGTATCTTTCTTCTACTTCCACTCTAGCACTTCACTACTTTAATTGGAAGAAAAACGTTATTAATAATACCATTTTCGCATGCATTTTTCAGAGATTTATGCAGCAGTTTGAGCTGTTACAAAAAGCTTTTGTTCCCGATCACGCCTCTTACTTCTCGTACAGAGAGACTATATCCAATGCTCGTTTTTCCGTAAGTATATTTCCGATATTTTTTTTCTGCTTCAACGATCTTTGCAGTGCAATATTTGACCAGCTGTCTCATTTTTGGCAGACCTTATCCATGCATAATTGCTTTAAAGATGCTCAGAAGATTGCAAAAGGGCTACATGGTAATTTTGCCAACGATCCAGACAGGATGGTGGAGCTGCGCCGAATAGAACAGGTGGCGGAACACAACGCAGTTGCCCTAAACCTTGTTTGCCGGTTAGGTACTCTTGAACCATCGCTTAAGATTTCTTTCGAATTTGTCCACCATCCACATTTCGCTGTTGCTTCTGTGAAGAGGTCTTGATTATCTCGAAAAATTTTGATTTGGAATTATTTTAATATTAGGTAGCATAATTTTCCAATTAAGG